TCCATGTCCTTCTTATGTTGGGGGCCCCAGAGCTGGCTGCAGTACTCCAGGTGGGACCTCACCAGAGCAGAGTAGAGGGGCAGAATCACCTCCCTTGACCTGCTTGCTGGCCATGCTTCTTCTGATGCAGCCCAGGATACGGTTGGCCTTCTGGGCTGCAAGCACACATTGCTGGGTCATGTTGAGCTTCTCATCAACCAACACCTCCAAGTCCTTCTCCTCAGGGTTGCTCTCAATCCATTCTCCGCCCAGCCTGTATTTGTGCTTGGGATGGCCCCGACCCAGGTGCAGGACCTTGCACTTGGCCTTGTTAAACCTCATGAGGTTCACACAGGTCCACTTCTCGAGTTTGTCCAGGTCCCTCTGGATGGCATCCCGTCCCTCTGGCATGTCAACTGTACCACTCAGCTTGGTGTCATCTGCAAACTTGCTGAGGGTGCACTCGATCCCACTGTCCATGTCCCTGACAAAGATGTTAAACAGAGCCAGTCCCAATACCGACCTCTGAGGAATGCCACTCGCCACTGATCTCCACTTGGACATCGAGCCGTTGACTGCAACTCTTTGAGTGCGACCATCCAGCCAATTCTTCACTCACTGAGTGGTCCATCCCTCAAATCCATGTCTCTCTAATTTAGAGACAAGGATGTCATGCAGGACAGTGTCAAATGTTTTGCACAAGTCCAGGTAGATGAAGTCAGTTGCTTTTCCCTTATCCACCAACATTGTAACCCCGTCATAGAAGGCCACCAAATTTGTCAAGCACAATTTGCCCTTAGTGAAGCCATGTTGGCTGTCACCAATCACTTCTCTGTTTTCCATGCTCCTTAGCATAGTTTCCAGGAGGATCTGCTCCGTGATCTTGCCAGGCACAGAGGTGAGACTGACTGGCCTGTAGTTCCCCGGGTCTTCCTTTTTTCCCTTTTTAAAAATGGGGGTTATGTTTCCCCTTTTCCACCCAGTGGGAACTTCACCAGGCTGCCACGACTTCTCGGATACAATGGATAGTGTCTTAGCAACTTCATCTGCCAGTTCCCTCAGGACCCATGGATGCATCTCATCAGGTGCACCTTCAGGTCCCTTGGATGGTCTCGAACCTGATCTTCTCCTACGGTGGGCGGTTCTTCATTCTCCCAGTCCCTGCCTGTGCCTTCTGCGACTTTGCCTTGAGCACTTGCTGGTGAAGACTGAGGCAAAAAAGTCGTTGAGTACCTCCACCTTCTCCGTATCCCAGGTAACCAGGTCTCCCGTTTCCTTCTGGAGAGGGCCCACATTTTCCCTAGTCTTCCTTTTATCCCCAACGTACCTATAGAAGCTTTTCATGTTGCCCTTGACGTCCCTGGCCAGATTTAATTCTATTGGGGCTTTAGCCTTCCTAACCTGATCCCTGGCTGTTCGGACAATTTCTCTGTTTTTTCCAATTTTCCTCTTGAACGTGTCAAAACATATCCTGTGTTGTTCCAGAATGTGGAAAGGGTCTGAAGTGGGATTTTTTTCGTTTTGTTTTTGAGTTTTGGGGGGTTTGTTTTTGTTTTTTTAACTTGATTCTAACCTCAAATCTGATTGGGTAGTCAGACTGGCCTATGGCCTACATAATAAATTTTTCTGTATAAGTCAGTATTATGATATTAGATGCAATCTGACACACACACACACAGACACAGAGCCATCCACCCCTTTACCATTGTTTCATTTTAATGTTTATGAAATGTGATTTCTCTATAGACCATTTAGCTACCTTAATTTGTTCTAAGTAATTTGTTTAAGCCTGTTTACCGTGAAAGTGTGAGCCTAAACAAGGAGTTAAAACAGTAAAAACCCCCCTGTTGTTACAGGTAATTCTGAATAGTTTTTCTGGAGGCTAAAAATGCACTGGTAAAATTCCTATGGGGACAAAACTGGTTAGATGCTCTCTAAACAGTAATAATGCTGTGTTTTGATGAAAGTACATGATCAAATCTTGAGCAGTTTCATATTTTCTTTTACCATTTCTTTGGTGATACTGAAATTGCCATGAACAAAATGAAGATTAATCAAGGTCTTAAATGGGATGTTTCCTTCCACCCTTTTTTTTATGGCAGTTGTGGTGTCATTCACTGGCAAAGAAACAAGGACATCTGCAGCTCAGATTTCTCAGTGTTTTAGAGAGGCAACAACTGTCACGATATTAGAAAATCTGTTCCAAAAATATTTTATCATTAAAGTGTTGTCTTTTTTTCCCCCTTCTTGTTTTCTCCCTACACCCTTCTCCTCTTATTCCCTTTTCTTGATAGGATTTATCAACTATATCAAAAGCAATGGCACAAGATAAATCACTCTTACAGATTTTTGTCGTGATAGTGTTTAAAAATGTCTTAATGGTACAATCCAAAACCAGAACGTTGCTTCTAAAGGCAGCCTCTCCACACAAGTTATTTCCCACAGGACTTTTTCAAATAACAAAAATCTAAGGCCCTCTTTACCAGATAACTGGTATGTGAATCCATGCCAGAATGGGGAGCAGGGTCAACAAGGTGGAGATGCTATTTCTAAATATTATTTTGTAGATGTGAGAAGAACCATTATGACATGAAGTTATAATAAATAAGAAAGAAGATTCAGAAGCAGAAAAAAGTGGCTAAAGCTTTGAGTATAAAATATATGCACAATAGCTATTGATCAATTGAATAACAATTCTCCTTTATGTAGAAATTACAAATAGATTGCAGCTACAAGTATAGGGGAAGTTCTTCAGGAATTCTTGACTCTTGACTTGGAGGAAAAGGGAAGAAAGTATTTTCCACTGAGCATGTATCTTGTGTATATATTTTCAGTAACCGTGTGGAAGCCTGGACTAGGGATGTTGACTTCCTGCTCCGGCAAGAAGGGAGACCCATGGTAAATCTTACTGGTGATAGGAAGCATGTGAGAGTGATGGAAGCAGATTGGCGGAATACTGATAAAGCAGTAAACTGGATAAAGGAAGAAGCCGTTAACTTTACTCAACCATTTGCTCTTTACTTGGGACTAAATTTACCACACCCATATCCATCACCCTATGCGGGAGAAAATTTTGGATCCTCTACATTTTTAACATCTCCCTATTGGCTTGAAAAGGTATGTGAAGATGAAATTTAAATATAAATTTATTTATAACTGTACTTATTATGAACAGTATTTTATTCCTCACGATTTTTCAAGTCAGACCCAGTTTTGATATTTCAGTACACAGTAAGAAAGTACTTGGTTGAGATGTTGGATTTCTGATTTAAGGCAAAGCAAATAGAAGTGAAAAATTTCTCACTGTTGTAGGAAAGGGTCTGTTAGCAGTAGTCACTGAATCAATAAAGAAGTTTGGAGTTCAATGGCTAGAAACACATTAAACGGAAAGTGAAATCATTGCTGTAATTTTTTTTCAGTAATGGTCTGAAGTTCATTGTTTATAACATTCTGTATTGTACTTGTTATAAATGATGCTATATGTAATCATTCTGAGTTTTAAAGTGAGAGATTGACTTTTCCTACAATATGAACCTGAAATGTGAAGTAGTAAGACACAGAAGTAGTGTCTCTTTTCTGTTAACTTCTTTCCATGCTACTGTAGCTTTTCAATGTTTTTACAGTGCAGAAAAATCCCATTATGTCCGTATGTGGAAAGCTAACGGATAGCACTCCATTCCAAAGAAGAAGTAAATATTTTTTCTCTGTCTTAGGTGGTCTCCAGGTGCCATTATCTGCCATAAAAATATAAATGGGTTACAACAGCTTTCACTGCATAAAGCATTAAGATTCTCTGCAACTGAAGAACTGAGAATTAGGATTGAAAAGACTTTATGCTTACTTCAAATAACCCATATGCAATTTATATAACTCATTTGGCCTTTTCTACTGGGGAACTGCAAAATCTCTTTATCTAGATGCAACAAAAATACAGAGACTTAGAAAAACGGATATACAAATGAAGGTTGAAAGATGTGAATTTCTTTGTAATAGTGAGGGTTGTGGGTTCTTCTAGGAATGGTGAGAAGTTTGTGGGGAGAGGAAGAGCATGGGGGAAAAACCTTCATTTGCAAAAAGCAAGATCTAGCTTGGATATTAAGGAAAACTTTCTAGGTGCTAATTGCTAGGTTAGACATGTCTTGGGAAGTGGGGGTACCTTTTTTCAAGTCACAGACAGAGTTACAACATCTCTGACAAATTTTTGTCATCCTTCATCCAGGTAGAGTACTTAAACTCCATAGTTTGCTGAGGTCCTTTCCACCACTACACATACATACTCAGTTATGTGAACCACATATTACCGTTTATTGACCATTGGCTGATTCTTCTGGAATGCGTCTGTGTTTTGGCCATGGAAGAAGCAGTCCTTGAAAATGACAGAGATCAATCTCGTGAAGAAGTTTGAGTGCATAGATGAAAAACTTGTATTAAATTGTATGTTTACTGGGGAGCTAATACAGAACAGAGTATCAACATGGTATGTTTATGAAACCCTGTGTTGCTAAGCAGATGGTCCCCTGTATTTTGCACAAGCTGGCACTTTTTCAGGGCATTTGGCTTCTCTCCTAGCTATGAATTACGACTATGGATTATAGATACATAGATATATAGATAGCTATGGATTATGACTTTGTGAATCCTTAAAACTAGGTTGTAGTCCTGTAGAAAAGGGTTCAGTCTTCTGACTGAATCGTGGATGGAGAGGGGCACTTTTTGCTCCCATTATATCTTAAGAAACTAATAAATACCATTTGAGGATTCTAAAGGGTGACTTTATGTAGCTGAGGACCTTCAGCAATAGGAAGATGACTGAAGCAGTTGTCTGCTATTATTTTATCTTCCATGATTTCTCCTTGCCCTATTTTCTATAGGGCCTAAAGAAACTTAGGTTTAGGTATGTCCACTACAAAGCCGGGGTTTATCCCTATGGGCACTTTAACTCTTGCTCTTGCTGTCTTACCAACTGTTTAGATGACTTAATACATCTGTGAGATAGCGCAAGAGAGACTATTGAGTGTTGTGGGAGGTGGAGCTTTGTGGGTATTGGAACACATGGCCGTAACAGCTCTGGTGGTCAAAGATACACCATGTGCTCGACAGAGAGACACTACGCTAGTAGCTCCCCAGCTCTTAGTTATCCATGCCACACCTTGGGGCAAAACCAAATTGGGTTCGGCAGGGATT